TTGTTTTAACATAAATCATAGACATGGAGGATTGATTATTGATATAGAGTCAAGTTGTTCTTTTCTATTCTGGACATCTTGTTCAAAACAACTGACATGGTTTAACTGAATGACCAAATTGAAATGAATTTATGTATTTATATTGGAACAAATAAAGTTTATTGAATAATGTGAAACTTGTCTACAAGTTCTTGTTTTTAATTAGGGTGGCAAATGGTTCAAAGTTGCTTGATGGTTTGTGGGCTCGGCTTGGCTTAGCTCAGAATCGTTTCGAGACAAGACAAGGATCGAGTTGAGCTCATTTTTTCACGTGTCGATTCATTTTGGGCTCGTGGGTCGGCTCATTTTTAGCTTATTTTATTAGTTTCTTTTAAAAAAATTGCTCTTTTTCTAGCTTTATTTGTTATTTTCTTTATAAGAAGAAAAAAGAGTTGACTCAGTCCATTGCGAACTCTATTTTTAACCTGAATTGAATAGAAAAGGGGTTTCCCTCTATTATAGGTGATTATTTAAGGTTATTATCAACAAACATCGGTTATTTATTAATTGTTGATGTCTTCCTACACTTCTATCTTCTTTTGATTTGATGTCTTGTTCTCTTTAAGATTGATGATATTTTAATAAGAATAAATAAATAACGACAAGGAGTAAATAAAAATTAACCTAATATTCTCAAAGATATGGTTGCTTCGGTTCTTCTTTCGCTAGAAATAAATTTACACGGCACGACAAAATATTCATATAGTTGAGTTCGAATGTATTAAGAATGATATAGAATTATGAGAATTTCACGTGACTTGTTATCATTCTCATCCACGGATTATTTTAGAGGATTCAATGGGATTTAGGATTTAAGTCTTCTTTGATATTAAATTTAAGATCGACTAAACAAATTATTTCCCACCCCTGTCTACTCATGGCTAGAAAGGTCGCTAAACTGAAACTCGATACGACAAACTTACAAATGGCTCAAAGAGAGTGGAGAAATGATCCATTTATAGAAATAAATACAAACTTATACAAATTATAATCAACCATTACAAACAATACAATACTCACACAAATACAATCAAAAAAAGGAAAAAAAATTAAATAATAATAACATCATTCATACTGCAGAAGAAGATTTGCATCAAATAATTGACTCCTAATTTTCCAAATCCTCTTCCTCATCAAATTCTTCATCATTATCAGCTGCTGCATCCTGATATTGCTGATATTCTGAAACCAAATCATTCATATTACTTTCAGCCTCAGTAAATTCCATTTCATCCATTCCTTCCCCAGTGTACCAATGCAAGAATGCCTTGCGCCTAAACATGAGCGTAAACTGCTCAGAAACACGCCTAAACATCTCTTGTATTGACGTAGAATTCCCAACAAATGTCGATGACATAGAAAGCCCAATTGGTGGAATGTCACAAACGCTCGACTTAACATTGTTTGGTATCCACTCGACGAAGTAAGAGGAATTCTTGTTTTGTACGTTGATCATTTGCTCGTCAACCTCTTTCGTGCTCATTTTGCCACGGAACATGGCCGAGGCAGTTAGGTACCGGCCATGGCGTGGATCAGCTGCGCACATCATGTTCTTGGCATCCCACATTTGTTGAGTGAGTTCTGGGATGGTGAGGGCTCGGTATTGCTGTGATCCACGAGAAGTCAAGGGTGCAAAACCGACCATAAAGAAGTGTAGACGGGGGAATGGGATTAGGTTTACAGCTAATTTTCTGAGGTCAGAGTTCAATTGGCCGGGGAAGCGAAGACAACATGTTACACCGCTCATAGTTGTTGAAATCAAATGATTCAGATCACCAACTGCAACCATAGATATTTCAATTTGTTACAAGGCTCATCACTAACATAATTGGCATATAAACTAGGAGGATTGATCTCTTGCCCATAGTGGACTAGAGATATTTTGCCCACCAATGAGGATCTTGCCACCTCATCAGTATTTTAAACATTGGGCAAGAGATCTCCTGTCCACTATGAACGGGAGATTAGTATACACTACACTCGATGAGACTGAACATGACAACTAATTGTAACTTACAGCTTGGATTTGTGAGCTTGAGTGTGCGGAAGCAAATGTCATACAGAGCTTCATTGTCAAGAACCATACACTCGTCAGCATTTTCAACGAGTTGGTGAACCGAGAGGGTGGCGTTGTAGGGTTCGACCACTGTATCGGAAACCTTGGGAGATGGGAACACCGAGAAAGTCATCATCATCCTATCAGGGTACTCTTCCCTGATCTTGGATATGAGCAGTGTCCCCATCCCGGAACCGGTTCCACCTCCAAGTGAATGGCAAACTTGAAATCCTGTCACACAAAGAAAAAGTCTGATCAATATGTAAAATGAAAATCTTGCAACAAATAGAGGAATCAATGGTGTAGTGCAAAAAAAAGGGATTTTGAACGAACGCTATCCAATCGATTATTTTTTCAAACCATGACAGATTAAATCCCTAAAATGAACTAGACACAAGGAAAAAGAAATGGACAAGACCAGCCTACAAAAATATATGGACTGTCACAGTAAGAAACTGTCTGATGAACACTGACAACATATTAGGTGCTAGTACTAGACAGACTAAACATGCCGACGGATAAAATTTTTGCCGCTTATTTTCTTTAACACTGTCGTGTCCACCTTACTAAACAAACTAAAAGTGAAGATCTTGCTACAATGTCAAGAAAGTTTAAACTACCAGAATTATTAGCTATTTGAAAGCAACTTTTCCAGCTTTTTTGGACAGTGCTCATATAAATTCTAGCCAAATAAGCGAGCTTTTAAGCCGGGCCAACCGTGCTCATACCTTGTAAGCAATCACAGTTCTCTGCTTCTTTGCGAACAACATCTAGAACAGAATCAATCAACTCAGCTCCTTCAGTGTAATGCCCTTTAGCCCAATTATTTCCAGCTCCATTTTGCCCAAAAACAAAATTATCAGGCCTAAAAATTTGCCCATATGGACCACTCCTCAAACTGTCCATGGTTCCAGGTTCAAGATCCATTAGCACAGCCCTAGGAACATACCTCCCACCACTTGCTTCATTGTAATAAACATTAAGCCTCTCAAGTTGAACCCTGGAATTTCCCACATAATTACCAGTGGGACTAATTCCGTGTTCATCACACACAACTTCCCAAAACTTCCCTCCAATTTGGTTGCCACATTGCCCAGCCTGAATGTGAAGAATCTCTCTCATTTTCTTGAATCAAAATTTAAGGAAATGGAATTTCAAGAATTTGGAATTAAAGAGCAATGGGTGAAGGGGGAGAGCTTGGAGGAATGAATTAAAACAGAGTTTTTGTAGTGAAGATTGGATGGATATTATTAGAGTGGAATATATGTTTATTGGAATAATTAGGCCGATAACGGTACATGGGTATCTTTTGGACTTTTCCTAAAATCTTGTACTGATCCTAAAGTCTTTTATAGTCTAGGACTAGGACTAGTATATATACATGATGTAACCCTCTTATTGAAAAATAATAAAAATCATCTCCACTTCATTCCGTGGACGTAGGTACATTGCCGAACCACTTTAAATTCTTGTGCTGAATTATCTCTTTCACTTGTCTATTATTTATCATTTAATGATCCCGTATACGACATAACAGACTAAGACATCAATATTTTTCGGGCTTTTCGTGCATGTTCAGCTGGTAATACTCAACACCAAAATTTAAATTCTTTTCTTCATTGATACAGTATTTAAACCGAACTTACAAGATAATAATAATAATAATGGAGAGATCCAATCAATAATTTTCATGCGGGCATGGATTTGCAGAAAGTGTCAAAGATGAAAAAGGAATTGTGAGCTGGAAATGAAAGGAGACAAGACAACCAGTTCCATGCACTCTCATGTGGCTAATGGCTTCACATCTTCCATATTACAACTCTATCCTTCGCAATATTTTGTATCTTTACTCGTTAAGAAAAATCAAGCCTTCCTGATTTTTAACATGTTTCTTGATATTTGGTTCGAGGTTTAAAGGAAGAAGGAAAGGATGACTTGATAAAAATATATATTATTTTTAAATTATTAAGAGACATTTAATTTAGTGAATACTAAATTGTTTTGTAAATTTCATAACGAACATTGTAATTTATATAGTATGGTATAATTTCGAAAACTATATATTCTAAAATTTATTATTAAATGATAACGTTTCTAAAGCTTAAGTAATTATTAATACCATATTGGTTATTAAATTTAAACAATAATATGACAATGAAATATAACTCCAATAAAATTGAAACAGAAATTTTTTCATTATTTTATTACATGGAATATCATATCGCCCTTTCGAATAATTATTAGCTATTTTATCAAATAAAAATTATTATAAACACATATACTACTTAACAAGTAAAAAAAATAAATTAAGCTTAGTCATATGATATCAATGTAAATTATTTTTTATTTAGCAATTATAAGATGCAAATTATTTTTGTTTTCTTGTCCAATTTATGGAGAAAAATCTTCATTTAAAGATCAAAGTTAGGTGCCAAATTGGAGTGATATGACATCTTAATGTAAGAGAGTATGAGAGAGGTTGGAGAGTTCAATTATTGAAGCCAATAGTGTCCTCATTCCAGCTCTCATAAAAGGGATGGTTGGCAATATGATTTGGTATTTTTAACAGAATAAAATTTTGTATTTAAATGGTACTAAAGAAAATAAAATCACGCCGACTTAGATTAATATAGAGAACGAGGACAAGAACAAAAGTAAAAAAGAAAAGAGAATAGCTTGCAGGAATCAAGATTTGGATTATGTCAACTCAACTCAAACAAGTGTGTAGTCGAGAACCAATTATAATAAAGATATATTTGTAAGTTCGAGGACGCCCAAGTCTTTTACCCTTCGATTATATTTTTTAGTCTTTTCCTTCTACATTTTACCCTTCTCCTTTTCTTTTACCCTTGCCCTCTCTCTCAAGTGGTCAAAAAGTAAAAATAAATAAATAAATTATTGCTTTTCCATTTAGAAAAGAATAGAGAATAAGACAGGATTACTATGTAAAGATCATGATTCTAAAGCTTGTTGCTTATAAAGCACTATTTTCAAAAATCATATTTTATGCCAATTATTGCAATGGCGTATAGGCTTAATATTGATTAAGAGATGGTAATTATTAGATAAGATGTCTGTACCATAATATCACTTGTTCCCCAAAGCAACCCCTTGCCTCTCTAGTTGCTGAACTTCCTTTGTCTAGTGTCATTTTATTTATTTATTTATAAATATATATATCTCGTACTCAACTTGTCTATAATTTTCATAAACAATTGGCAACGACATTTGATCTTAGGCCTCATTTGTCATTCTTTAACAAAATAAATTGTTTGTTACAGTAAAAATCTTCACCACCCATTCTCCAAAAACTACTATTCAAAACTCTATTTTTTTTTCCAAAATGGAAGACAAACAAGTTCTTAATCTCAAAAATTTCATTTTGTTGCCCCCTTATATTAAATCTCATCGTCTAAAACCTTGAACCTATATATTGTTGAGAATTTTTTCTTCTTTCTGAAGTGATGCGAAGACTTAAATAATACTATATGCTAAAAACACGTATACGTAGGAATGCATTGCCGTTATAATTTAATTATCGACTTGTATGTCCCATACTAAGAACGCAATGAGACATGCGGGTAGCTAAAATTTTCATGAAACACATGCGAGATACATGCACACAACATAACATGCATCACAATCTCTCATGAAAGCTCTTTCCTTTGAGGCTTCGAGATAAAGATCAAATTCTTTTCTTACAAAAAAAATGTTAAAAATGGTATTCATGTTTCATCGGATACTACTTTCCACAGAATTCTATGTATCTCTGAGGTCGAATAGGGATTTGACGAAACTCTCGAATTGAACCGATCGAACTGGAATCGAATTGAACTAAATCGAACTGAGTAGTTATTTTTAAGTTAAATATCTAAATGGGTATCCGAATCGAGAACTGACGAATTTGGTTTGATTCTCAGTTCTAGATCAAGAACCAAATAATTGAATAAGAATCAAAAAAATTATTTCATTTTCAAAAAAAAAAAATTATTTCATTTTCATTCTCTAATTTTTTAAATTATTTCATTTTCAAAAAAAAAACCATTTAAAAAATAAATAAATTTGCTAACTAGTTAATTTAGTTCAAACCCAAAATTATGATTTTCATTTTTCTAATCTTTAATCCAAGCCAACTTAATCAAATTGATCTAAGTTATACCAAAATCTATTATTCTATCGTAATGTCGTTTCTACAATTTTAGAGAAATCAAATTGAAATTTGACAACACATTTCTTAATTATTGTAAGCTCGCTATCTTTCTATTCATGTGATTTTAACAATCAAGTCTATGAAGAACTCAGCAAAAAGAAATATAAAAGACACATAAGATTGGACTACGTTATTTTGCAAAAGCTAAAATTGAACATGTCATTAGTTAAATTAATGTAGCTTTGTAAATATTAAAAAAAAATTAATTATAGTACGGAATCCAAGAACCAACTATAATTGAACCGAACAGAATTGAACCTGAACAGTTCCATAATTAAATTTGGACCTGACGATTTCACTTACTAAATATTCAAAAATTTTGGATTCGAAAATCGAATCGAACCAAACCATGCCCAGCTCTAATGTTGAGTATGAAATTCTGTTTCCATGTTCCATATCCCGGACAGTGTTAAATTCTTTATTGGATTTTTGAGGATGTAGTGTATATTCAGTAAATAGTATTACATCATTATACAAATTGATATAACTTCATTTTATGAAGGCTGTAGCAGAAAATGGTCCCAGAATCGGAATGTGCCAAAGATAATACCCCCATAAAAATAATGAAACAAGGATACTGATACAATAATGTACAACGTTGTGGGGAGCGCATGGCTAGGTGGGCTTGGGATGGAGAATCCTCCCAAGGTAAGAAACAGAACGAAGAAATCTCGACACATCGAGCATAAGTTATTGAAGAAACAACAGCTTACTCGATTCTCGAGAACAATATAGAAAACATCATCAAGTTACATTCTTTAGTTCGACCGAGCGGTGGGATGCATAATGAAAGGTTTCAACTGATCTACTCGACCTAATGAGCAGTTCTGTACCGAAGAGGTTCATCATGTTATCCTTCATCTAAATATAACTGGCAAAAATCTGAGATTACGACCAATTCTAGAAGCTTTTCTGCTGGTGTTACACCTGCCACGAGGATTATGCCCAAGTAAAGTCAAGTGCCATTGGTATGTTCGAGGTACTAAATTACAAGAAAATTTCCAAACGAATGAAAAGGATATATATGGTACACAAGCCAACGAGTCTTTTGTTCGCACTGGAGACAAATGATGGCCGGCCCGATGCCTTGTTAAAATTTGTATGATTACTGCTATCAGTTGGATGCTAGGTGAATATGCTCCAACTGAAGTACCGCTTATTTGCAAATTAGAATGTTTGGGCATGTTACTTTTTCCTTACTTCTAAGTTAAATTTACTTATTTTTTAAGGTGACTCTTACCTAAATAACTTGTTCATTTCCATCTTTCACCCATCAAAATAAGTAATTTATTTTAAAACTTGTTCACTTATGAGTAAACCTTTTAATCTTAACCAGATATACTCTATATGAAGAATTAAAAGAGAGAGCATTTGCATTAATTCAACTTAATTCGAAGGAATACAAATAAACAGATAAGCAACCAGCACTAATTGCATACCTGTTCCAACCACCTCAGTCATTTCATTTAGAAATCCTGTTTCCTTATAGCCTCTCCTTTCCAAACCATCCTGTGATAAAGGGATACAAGAATCAGTAATTAAGAATTAAAAAAAAAAAAAAAAGTAACTGATTTAACTTAATAAGTAACCAACTACAAAAATGGAGTTAACCTCACCTTAGCCAATTTAGTCACTTCTTGTGCAATGTGCTTCAGCAGTCCATCTCTAAATGCCATCTTCAAACTAAGCTTTGGAACCTACCAAACATAGATTTTGGGATGAACAAGTTATCCAAATTGTTTCATCCCTAAATGAGGACACTGTGAGCCATTTCCAATAAAAGCAACATCAGTCAAAATGCAATCTGCTAGTAATAGTCTTGAAATCTGGTCCTCAAATGACAAAACATACGATCAAACAACTCTTATTATCACAAAAATGAAAGGAAAACAAAGATAATAACAACAGGAATACTAAAAATAGATACAAAAGATTAGGCTGTCTTTTTCTCCCTAGAACAAAGGGCTGGAGGGGTGGCAGTGATGCAGATGTTCACTTGCTGAGGAGGTTCAATGGCTTCAACATCTCTTTCCTTGATTTTATTTATTTAAAAAAAATAATAAATAAATAAATAAATAAAAGAACTCTTCTCTTCGAGAAATTCTAGCCGGACTTACACATTGTAATGCGAATATTATGGATATTCCAGCAAACTTTAAAGTATTCTTATGATCCTCTTCTACTAATTCATAGAAATTATAGTAGACGAATCAATGGGTGTTAGAAAACCTTTTGTCTCATCTCGTAAAATGGTGAAATCCAATAAAAGAAATATTTCAACAAATATTTAATGTCAAACTGTATGAATACTAACATACTAAGAAAGCTGTTTTTGTACTTCATGTTTGTATTTTCATTTGAGATAATCTAATGAATAGTCACTCCGCTTGTTCCTCTATCTTTAAATGGTTACTCATTGCTCACTTAATTTTACTATAAATTATTATTTACTCATCAAAATTTAAAAAATTACTCATTATTCACCTAAATTTGAATAAAATTACTCATTGTTCATTACTTTACAACAGGTAATATTCATGAAAATGATATAGGTGATTAATCGGTGAATTTGTTTAAATTTGAAAGAGTAATGAGTAATTTTTTAAATTTTGGTGAGCAAGTGATAATCTATAGCAAAGTTCAGTGAGAATAGAATAATCTTTTAAATTTCGATGAGCAAATAATAACCTATGATAAAATTCCGTGACCATCGATTAAGTTAACTCTTTTCATTTCATTTGCTGTAATGTGCAGAAACTATGATGAATCGAAGAAAGAACGGTGGAGAGGGCACGGGGAAAGTATTCTGTGGTTTCGTCTTATGCGTCATCTCACCATTATTCGAATCATAATGATGGAATCCAAAAAAAAAAGAAAATACACTGATGCTATATGCTAGTTGAGTGGATTTAGGAACATATATTTTAAAAACTCAAATAATTCAAAAATATTTATTACTTAAAATTATTTTTGACAACCACTGGAAAAATTTTGAAATAGTGATTTTTAGAGAATGTATGATTAAAAATTAAAAAAAAAAATTGAATTTACGTGCTAAATATTTTACTGTGAAACTATGTGATAAAAAATAAGTTTGTGGGAAAAAAAGGGATTTTTATTTTAAAAGTTGTCAAACAGGGCTTAATACATTGAATTAGATAAAACTAAATAAAATTCTAAAAAATTGTATATGAAATTGTTTATTCATTTTCATTTCTAAACATGTTAGTCGCCATACCAAATTTGCACCATGTTATGGTAAGTAATATAGAGTATCATTGGACAGTGTAATTATTAAAATATTAAACTTTTCTTGTTTTTAAATATTGTGCCATGATATTTAATGAATGAAATTACATACTTGATAATTATACTTTCAGTTGTCAGGTAACTATACTTTAAATTTATTCAATCAAATAAATTACACTTTAATTAAATTGCAATAACATAACTCTATTTATTTTGATTTCATTTTAACGGCTACACTTTTATTTGATTTCAATTAAGGTAATTACGTCCGGCTCTATCGACATAATTGATGAGCTTGCTAGTAAATTAATGATGGCCATCACACATAATTGCTAGTTGCAGACATAGAATAAGTACTACCTTACTAAAATAAATGCTAACCATAAATTTTTTATTGTTATGTCTCAATTCGCATCGCTCAAAGGAACGGTTGAACATAATTGCTCAATTGAAATTAAATTAAAATATAATTTATCTAATAAATAAAATTAAGTACAATTACCTTATTGACGCTAAATAAAAGAGTAATTGACACAATTGCTTCCATTGCGAAATACCTCCATATCCTTTTATTTTGGGGCAAAACACCCTAGATGACATTTTCTTTGCAAAAATACAATATTTTCTTCCATTTTCTCAATAAAGTCTTGTGAAAATTATGAGCATTCCCTCCTCCTTAAATAAAATAAAAAGGAAAGAATATAAAATAAAGAATTAATTACAACTGCAGCCTGAAATTTATCAAACAAGTGCAAACGAGTCTCAAATAAATAATTAAAAGACTAAATGTACGTACAAGTTAGTTTTTATATTTTATATTTTATTTAACAAATTAAAATAAATTAATAGCTTTCACTATATTTTATTTTTTTATTTGTAATATTATCGACTTATAAATTAGTTTTTATTTTCTATTTCATCTTTAATGAACTTATTGTAATTAGTATATATTATATATAAGTAAATCAAATGAACGACAACAATAACATCAATTATGTTATTGACGATTACCAATAATTCTTTCATCTTGTTGACTAAGAGGCCATTGATGTTACTTATCCAAGCTTCATTTTTTATCATAGAACTATTGATAATTGTTGATAATATAATTGATGATATTGTCGTCGTTTTTTATTTACATATATATAATATATATTAATTACAATAAATTTTTTAAATTTTAAATAGAAAATAAAAAACTAATTTATACGTTGATAATATTATTAAAAAGAAAGAAATAAAATATAGTTAAAAATAATTTATTTTAGTTAAATTTTTATAAAATATAAAAACTAACTTAAACCATTTAATTTGGAAATTAATTATTTGAGACTCGTTTGCATTTTTATTTTATTTTATTTTTGTTTTTTTTGAAAAAATTGGAACTACAATTGCAATTTTTAATTTTCCTTCTCTTTTGTTTTATTTAAAGAGAATAGTATATTCGTCATTTCACAAGGATTTTATTGAGAGGATGGAAGAAAAAGTTGTATTCAACAAAGATTTTATTTATTTATTTATTATTATTATTTTTTTTGAACTACAACAAGTTAAACTCGTGGATAGCAAGAGGCTTTCCAATAAAATGAATATTAAAATTTTGCACTAAATGTCCATTAACATTAGAAGAGGATTAAGTGTGTTTCGGAGGGCTGTTTGGGAGCCTAGAAGGATTTTTAGAAGATCTAAAGAACTGCAAGGCTTATTTGACTATTATTAAAACAAAACTCTATATTTTTCAAACTTATTTTTAATTACACATTCTTACAATAAAATATTTTGCACATAAATCGTTTTTTTTAACTACAAATTTTCCAAAAAATCTAGTTCAAAAAATTATTTTCCTCAAAATATATACAAGATTTTGGTTGCGGCATATGGATAAAAGAGAAAAACTTATTCACAAAATTTGTCTTTTTAGGCACGTTTCACATGATTTTTACTTTTACTTTCTGTATAAAAACCTTTTGAGAAAATTACCTTAGTTTTTGTTAGAAAACTCATTTTTAAAAGAGCTTCGTGTTCGGGAAGCGCCTTTAATGTCAGTCACGTTTGAAAAGATTTTTTTAACTAGAAGAAATAATTTCATAAAATTAATCAAACAATTTCAAAAGTAGATTTCGAATCTCAAAAATTTATTTTGACTTTCCAAAAATCGTGTCAAATCAACCTTTAAAACATCTTAGAGAAGCTCCCATTTGAATCTTCTCTAAAGAGCTCAAAATTCTATCCAGGTGTTGGCAACAACTGTATTTTTTTTTGTTTTTTCGATGTAAAAATGCCTAGTGTCCCCTTGCAATGTTTTCCCTACATAGCGCAACTTGTAATTTTATTGGTGCTTCTACCTATCCATGCTTAACAATTGTCAATACCAATAATGTCTCTAGGATAACAAAAATGCTAGTCTGTCAGGTGATCAGGCTGTCTACAAGTTCTCACAATGAGGCGGGCCCCATGTCTGACTCTCATGCATTAAAAAATTGCAAAAAAAAAAAGCTGACCCACCACCTCTGAAAGAGCCTGTAAAGGTTCGACTTGGTAGTGTAGCATCACTCCTAGGATAATGTTAATGCAACCAAGCTATGTGTACTGGAAAAAAATGCCAGGCTTTGTACAGGGTACACTTAGTCATTTTTCATTGGGTGTTTGTAAAAAGAAAAAAAAAACCATTGAAGTGCTGTCAACATAGCACCTATACACTATTTGGCAATTATTCTCCTATACAAGGTGAATAACTCGTGTTAACGAAAGGGTTATTTTCGAACAGTTGAAAATTCAATTTTTTGTTAGTTGATTTGCCCAAGTTGGTAGATGTGAAATACAACTACTAAGTAAGTTATGTACAATCAAGTTGCGCTTACTTATAGAAAGTGGAAATAAAAACAAATCAATTTCATGTAAACAAGTATTTAATAAACTTGGAAAATGGGAATTTACTATATTCAACTTCCATGATTTTTTAACAATCAGCAATTTACAAAAACGAAAGAAATGACATTTTAAACATGAACCAAGACCTGAATGAAAATACAAAGAGCAGTTGTTTACACAGGGAATATACGAAATTAGGGTTGTAGCATAAAAGTTAGAACGTTAAATTAAGTTGCTTTTCCTCACTTAAAAAAAAAAAAAATAATAATAATAATAATAAATAAATAAATAAAGTTTGAAAATAAAAATAATTCTTTCAAACAATTTCAAATCAATATAGTTTTTATCTTTAATTATATTGAAATCAGTGCAATTTGATGAAACCTGTCAATTTAATGTTGTGAAAAGTATTAAAATACAAAAGCAAATATTTCGCCGTTACCGGGGATCGAACCCGGGTCACCCGCGTGACAGGCGGGAATACTCACCACTATACTACAACGACTTAGTTGTGTCTTAGCCGCAATCTTTAGAATATGTAAATTTTATTGGCATCACACAGATTTAAGTTTTGAACAATATACATAAACGTCAACATAATATAAAATAACGCACAATGTATATTATAACAAAAATACATGTAAAATTGTATCTTATATTGTCCTATCAATTTTATCTATTCTTTTGTTACTTGAATTACGAAAATTAATTCTATTGCAACATTTCATAAGCAGTGGCGAATCTAGCATCAATGTTCAGTTAGGACGGAGGTTGACTTTGACCGTTGTCCGTCGACAATCAACGATCGTAAAAACCTGGTTCGATCGGCGGCCAATCGTTTATTAAAATTAGATTAAATAATATTAAAAATGATTCAATATATATGTAAATGCACTAAAATCTAGAAATTATATATATATGAAAATATAGTTCAATACAACCCAAAATGCTAAAAAAATATACAATACAACCTTACTCCGTAATTGTAAAAATATACAATACAAAAAAAAATAAAAATAAATAAATAATGGTTCTCCAAGTGTTTTACAATATTGTTAGTATACATATCAATCAATAGTACAATAGGAATTAGGAAATATTATTTTTATCGTGGGTATATGCAATTTTTCCCTATTTCTTTTCTCTTAACTTGAATTAATAGCCTATGATTTCATTTCGATCATCACAGAAGATGTGTGGATCAGCAATTATGAGCCTCGAACCAATTCAATCATTCATTCCGAACAAAACATTTATTGATTGAATCAGTGAAATATGCATGAATAATTTTATTTTTTTTCTAATAACTTGATTTAATAAATTATTTAATGGAGATTGAATTAAAAACTTCAATGGTTTATATCATTAGAATATTTTATTGGACTCTTTAATTCCAACTAATAAATTAATAATGGACAAAAATAAGCTTAAAAAAATGACAGAATTCGTTATTTATTTATGCCATCCCCAATTCCCCATCCATATTATATCTTCACAAATTGATATTATAAAGTAAATGCCCAAGTTCCATCCTTAGCAATTTCCAAACCATCTATTATATATATATGAGAAAGCTGAGCAAATATTGAAAAATTGTCCAACCCAACTTCACCACTCACAAGTACTATAGTCTATACGCCATACGGGACATTGAATCTACAATAATATAACTATAAGTTATCATACTTTCATGTATATCTATTGAAACAAAATTATGAAATATTAAAAACTGGTTACAAATTAACAAGTGACATAGAAAAATAGAGAATTATGTATTTATTCAAGAACAAGTACAAAGCCTATGATAATACCGGTTTTGACGGGAAGGAAACTGGACACGGGATTGATTCGAGAAAGGAAAGCTTGCTGCTGGTTGCCTGCTGGAGTTGGTCCTCTCCGAGTTGCCGACCCAATGGCAGTGGCTGCGGCACAGGCGCACAGCCAAGAAAATGTCTAAATCTGAAAACAAACCAATCCACTGTCCACTCCCGACGGCAGGCGGTCGGTGGTTCCGACGAAGCCAGCTAGCTGGCCAATAGCTACATCCGCCACTGTTCATAAGAATACGTTATTTTAACCTAAAAAATTCTCACTTTTTAAATTAACAAGTATACCAACTTAATACAGTACTAGCGTGTAAAATTAATTTCGTAAACTCGTTAAATAAATTACTTCAATACCATACACATACAAAGTGACAAGGGCAATTCTTGGCACGTCTTAACATGAAAAGATATATTTTTAGGCCAAATGCCCTTGGTGTTTTCTTATGCAAGCATGAACCAAGCTACAGATATAGAGGAATACATCACAGATCTTTTACAAATAAGACACATAGATAAGGTGTGTGATTTATTTTTTGTAATAAAATATTCACATGAAACTCACCCATATGAGAACCCGTAAACCTTTTGGTATTTTTTTCTTCTGTACACTGAGCTTTTTACCTAAAATAATCTTGTGGTAAGATGAATTTGACAGTTCAATGATCCTTACGTCATGTCCATTATAACGTAAAAAAAAAATACCTTTAATATGATGGGTATCACCACCTTTACCAATAACTGATAACAAATGTTTCAAATTTTTATAAGATGACACAGATTTTAGGGTTTGGCATCAATTTTTTTTCTGCTACTATATTAGTTAAAAAGCAAATACACAATCAAATTGTCAGTTGAATTCATCTCCGTGGCGCACGAATTTACACAATGACCAAATGGGGAGGTAATCCTAAAACATTTAACTGCAACCTATGCTGGGATGAAGTTTAAAACATCTCTTCTAGCCAGAAAATTACCACCTAAAAGCCTACGAATCAGCTGATTTTAATGTACTCTAACTCGTCGAATGCGGCGCTTTGAATTACTCTCGCTGTTTTGGAAGCTTCATTGCAGAAGAGCTGCCAAAAGTGGCTCTTTTAGAACCTAAGAAGCACCAAAAGAGGAAGACACAGATTATTTGATTTATTTTAGAGGAAAATGCTTAAAAATAAGTACAACTTATTTATGACTTTATCCAATATTTATATGTTTAAAAATAGATGTAAATAAATTAAAAAATTTTAAGTTCAGCCAAGTATGCTGATAATCCAACACAAAAGGAAGAAGAGGAAGGTTCTTACTCGAAACTTTTGAAGAGCGCTCGCTCATTGACAACCGATAAGATCCTGCTTGGACTGGCTTTTGGTGGGGCCTTGGAAGTTTAACTGGCACGTTGCGCCTGCATTAGACCAGGTAGCAAAGTGAAGAATCTGACTTTCTTTGTAAAACATTAGCTCCAACATGCAGATAAGAGCAACAAGATGCATGCAATAATTTTTAAAACAAGTTCATGTATCAAAATTTAGACAAAGGCGCAAATGAAGAAGCTGAAATTGAGTGTCTTCGATGAAAAATCAGTAAAAAAAGGAATACAGGGAAGGAAAATGCAGGCTTAAAAAAAAATTCGATTTTATTTTGAAAGAAAAAAAAATGCATCAAAGGTATAAGCCGTGCAGACTACATAATATGAGAGCACGTCTGGCTAATCTTCAAAAAGGGAAAAGTGCTTTCAGAAAAGTAAGTTTGAACTAAAAATCTCAAAAAGGAATAGCTTTTATAAAAGCTTAAAAATATCTGGCAATAGCAATTACTTGAAGGTAACATTTAAGCTCAGCCAAACACCCCCTTAATTGTTATTAGTGCTATGCATCTATAGTTAAAGCAGTGCTACAGAACTCGAAGTATGGAATACTCACTTCTCCATGATCTCTGAAGTTCGTTTTGCAGTTTCAGGTAAAAGCATATGCTCTACCTTATTACTTATGGAACTGTCAGTTTCAGTACCCGTTGTAAAAACACCATCAGACATATCACTTAGTCTCTCTTCAGAATCAGTATCTCCAAAGTTCAGGAGCCCTACATCTAAATTAGAAGTTTTTCCTCCATTTGCTAAGCTGGGGCCTGATCTGACATCTTCCATAAAATTTTGACCACTTCCTACGATTTCAAGCCTTGATTGTTGAAAGAATTCCTCGTGGTGCCTCTGGCTGTCTATTGATTTGTGAGAAACAGCCTCACAATGTTTATCGCTGTACTCAGAGCTATTGTCCAAATCAGTTCGGCTTGGATGCGGGGCCTCTATAGAAAGCCTTCTTGGAGAGGCAGATCTGTAACTTGAAGAGTTCATATCTCGTCTCTCAGCATTTCCATGAGTACTGAAAGATCGTAATCTTCCGATTTCCTCATCTTTCTTCATAACAACATCCTTTAGAAAAGCCATCTGTAAGTTCAGAAGAAATCAATTAATAGCCGTTCTTTTTTTGGTTTCTTTAACAGTAATACTATATTAGTTTAATAATGAACAACAGCAACACAGGCTTCAGAATACTTTCAAGAATGAACTACAATTGAATCACATCGAAATAATATAAACTGAATAGCAACGACACACTGAAAATTAGATATAAATAGCTTCTGTTTCCATAGTTAAGGCATGCTTCTATTAGTCTCTTAAATTGGAAATGGACATTTTCACAAGTGCACCTGAAGCTGGAGGAATAAAAAACTAAAGATGGACAAAGCCATCAATGAGAAAGCATTAATTAAAACATTTGAAGTAGAATAACTTAGCCTCCGTTTGGCCCCCATTTTTTGAAATGAAAATGGGTGGAATATTTTTTTTTTTTTTAAAATGAGTGGTTGAAAAAGAAGGAAATTTTTTTGGTTTACGTTAAATATTATTTTATGGAAGATTATGTGGTTGAAAATAGGAAAGAAAAATAAAATGTAATGTAATGGAGACCAAACGGGATATTAATATAATTTTGCCACTCAAAAGAACAACAGTCAATCAGAAATCTACCAAGATTCTATAGAAGTAATTGTAGCAATGGGAAACATCATTAGCATTATCCTTCAGCGAATAAAGTACCTGTTCCATTAGCTCTCTAACACCCCTACCCTCTTTATTACTTCTTGCAGCACCCAACTCAACTCCAGAAGCCCTCTCAGCAAATTTCAGTGTACTTATAGTTTCTGAGAAGGATTCTACATCAGGATTGAGTTGTATGAACATGAGTGCCTTTGCTTGACTACCTACAATAGGGGGAAAAGAAGAGTGGGGATAAGTAGAGAGACCAATGGAAAGACAAAACGAAAAATCTATAACATAGAGAGTCCCATTTGAAACCTATATCATTTAATTCAGCTGTGTAATTCACATGATATCACTCAATAGTTTCTTATATACCTAGAGAGCTCTGAAGAACTTGAGTTAGCTTGCTATTCCTGTATGGCACATGGGAACTTTTTTGTGCCAAAGCAGAGATTACATCTCCCAACGCTGATAGGGATTTGTTTATATATTGTGCTTCCCGTAGTCTATCCCCTGTTGATTCAGAGCGTTCTACTCTTTCACTCCCAGCAAGATCCACTAAATGCAGACAACCACGCAAAACAGCATTGGTCTCCAAATCCGTCCCGCGGACATGAACTGTAAGTACACTGTGCATATGAAGTAAAATCAAAATAAAGCCACAAAAGGAAATGTCAACAGTTGGATAATTGATGATTAATATGCAGCCAAACCTGTGGGACCTGCTGCTTCTTTCATTTAGAGCAGTTGCACCAACAGCCCTATTCATTAACCCAATACTCATTAAATCTAACACATCTGTAGTTGATCTAACAGGGTGCATGCTAGCATCGGGGACAGCTAATCCATTCGGTTGGGAAGTGTTCCAAATCCCAAGCGTGTGCGAGTCAAAGGAAACAATGGAGAAAATATATGAATAGATATAGATGTGGAGGCATAATAGCACATATAATCATGCAATTTAGAGAATGTATGGGAAATGTTTATAAACAGACAGCTGGAGAAATGGGTAGTACATGTGAGTCCTATGAAATATGTAAATAAAAAGTGGGTTGACCAAAAGTATTTATAAACAGTTCCAAAACATACTCTTAGGTGGAAGAAAGAAAGAAAGTAAAATGGAGAAGAAAAATTCAGCGCTTCATTAAACATGGGGTCATAAAATAAATTTCTAAAGGATATCTCTTCTGAGAACTGTGGTTATTAAGTAAGTCACGCACTTGTTCATTATAAATTTCAACCATTTGAACCCCAACTTCATATGCAATGGAGCTTTTTCTGCTCTGAGATATATTGAAGAGATCATTCAGAGCTCTATAGTTGACTCCCCAATCCTCTACAGATGTTACACTCGGCCCACTCTGAAAATACATTCAACATCGTAAGTTTACAAACCCAGAGAGAAAATTCTACTTCATTTATTTATTTTTTACTTATCATAAGAGTAAGAACATACCATTGTGTAAGTTTTCCCCGACCCTGTTTGACCATAAGCAAAGATACAAACATTATATCCATCAAGAACGGACCGGATTAATGGTTGTGTGTCTCGGAAGACTTCCTCTGGAGATGAGTAATAGAGAGATAAGACATGCAGGAGAGAGAGTGTGTGTGTGTGCATTAGAACTATTCTTTGTAATGGACATGACATTTAGTTAGACGTATCATTGTTCTTTAGAAGATATGTTTTATAAAGTAAGAAAAGTAGAACCTTGAGTAGCTGCAGGACCAAAGACCTTATTGAACTTGAAAAGCCGATGACTGTCTTTTCCTTGTTTAGAGGGATTTATGACAACTAATTCTCCATTATCACCAATATATTGTATGGTTGTGTGTTTTCCACTTTGTCCGGGAAGAAATGGCCTTATACGGCAATAAACTCTTATATTTCCTAAGAAAAAGGAGCCCAGATACATTAGTAATTTCGTTAGCACCTAACCAAAACATCATAGCCAACTTACTGACACTGACCTTTTAAATCTTGAACCTCATTGTAAAGTTTTCGATTTTCCTCAAGTACAGTGTGATAATTCTGTGCTGCTTCTACCAATTCTTTGAGATTTAACCCTGATCAAAGCAAAAGATTGCATGTAAAAAAATTCCAAAAAGATGTGCCATCATTCTTGCAATAATTACGAAAGTGAAAAGGTTTCATTCATCTTCCTACCAAAATGATGAACTTCATCAGCATAGATTTCCTTGGTCTTCAAAACCTCTTCCTTCAAGGATTCGGATGCCAACCTCAATTCCTGCTTAATTTACATTATCATTAATATTGATATCAATAGAATTAAAGCACTGAGCTTGAAGCAAACCTGCAAGGATCCAAATTGAGAATTGATGAAGTGCACATATCTGTGTTCCTTTCTTTTCCATCTTAGAAATTTTGATTCTGAAAAGTCCTCAAGTTCTTTCACTTTGTTCCTTGAATGAGCCAGAAGGCACTCAAGTTCTGTAATTCTCTTCTCAAGCTGAACTTTAGTTTCCTTGGCATGGGTTTCTAATTGTAACTGATTTTCTTCATATGTCGTTTTGGCTAATTCCAATTCTTGCTTCAATGATAAAATTTGACTCTCATAGTGGTCCTTTTCTTTCCTTAATCTATTTAAATCATTTTCTTCGAGTTTCATCTTCGTCTACAAAGTGTTACATAATTGCTCAGAAGCTGATATCATGATATACACGTGCCAGTACTCACTCAATGATTGAGAGAATATAAATACAAGCATTTGTATTTATGAATGTCATTTTTAGTAATGCCAACTCAAAATGAGAAGTAATCTAAAGGAAAAAAACAAAGATTTGTAAGGGGAAATACTGCAATAAGCCCCAATAAATCAAGTACAGAAAGTCACTGTCTACAAAGTGTTACATAATTGCTCAGAAGCTGATATCATGATATACACGTGCCAGTACTCACTCAATGATTGAGAGAATATAAATACAAGCATTTGTATTTATGAATGTCATTTTTAGTAATGCCAACTCAAAATGAGAAGTAATCTAAAGGAAAAAAACAAAGATTTGTAAGGGGAAATACTGCAATAAGCCCCAATAAATCAAGTACAGAAAGTCACTAGCATTAAACAGCTGACATGATTTGAAACCAAATATACGAACTTCCAGATTCCCTGAACTTGATGAATAATAAACTCAAATCAACCCAAGATAAATCATTTTCCAGAGTCATGAGAGCAGAAACTATGTTCATATACAGACACACACCTTTATCTGTTGTAATTGCTTCATGGCAATCTGCAAAAATGTGAATAAACAAGATGAAATGAATGAAGGGCAAAGAGAACCACCATCCTAATTCCACATCCATAACTACCAGTCATAGTACCTCATTTTCTTCAATTGTTCCAGTTGCAAGAGTTTCAAGTGCTCTAATTTTCAATTGGTACCTATCTTCACGAGACTTGTACAGATTTTTTTGCTGCACTCATATAATAATGCAAACAGATCGTCAAGCATATCATTTTTTTGGAGTGAGAGGATGATCTCATAAGTCACTTTGAGAATAGAAAAATCATATCCTAGAGCTGATAATCTTTTGAGCATTTACCTTTCTCATATTTTCTGCTTGTTTATATACCCTTTGCTCAATTTCTTGTACAATTAATTTCACTACAGATGCCACACGCTGAGCAAAAAGAAATATGCCACCAACAAAATTGCAAATAAAGCTCAGAAAGGGGTTAAGGGAGGAAATAGTAATATAAAATTTTATCAGCATGATGACATTTGACAATGTTATATCATTCTGCCATACCTGAGGTATACTCTCGTTCTTTTTCTCAATGCTTTCCTCCAGAATACTGGTCACAGCACTGAAAAGTGACCGAGAAGTCGCACTCTGCACATAAAGATTTGCCACATAAAGAGTAGCTATACAAGCAAGAAGACATCAAACTATCGATGAGAGAATATGCAATTTATTACAGAACCAAGTTCCTATTTTCCAGTTCAATGGTAGTCAGACTAGTCTATAAATTAAGGCTTACAATGCAATAACAAGATGTTATCCGAAACACTAACATATTACCTCTAAACTTTCCAATTTCATTAGTTCTGAAATCTTAGACGCCAGAAAATCCCCATGATACCCATGCTTTGATTGGAACACATCAGAAAAATTACTGCCTGCATGATGATTGATGGAATAGTTTTCAATAGGTAGAAAATATATCAAAAGAGCTTATAAGGATGAGAAGTTAGAACCGAGAAACCTAGACAACAGATATGAATCAAATAACGACAATGCATACTCATATCTTCACATATTTTTTAAAATTAGAGTAGGATGAAAATACTTCTCAAATGGGTATTGCAAGGATGAAGCCATGTTAAAAGATGTAAAATACTACAGTCTTGAAGAAAATTATGTTCTCTGTAAGTTCCCTCCAAACGAGAGGGGTGAAAAGAATTGAGACACCACATGGCATTTCTCATTACACAGAAAGCTCGATGAATAATACTCCAATTCTGCTACATTACATTTACAACTTCAGATATTTTATGTCAGATTCAGATGTTGGGATTTTAGTGATACTGAATACAAATTATCAGATATCACAGTTTGACTTGTAATTCAATTCAACTTCAAACCTGTTGTTACAAGAGAAATTCCATACTACTTTTTAGCAAACTCAAGGTGTCAACACTTCTACTTAGATTTTGGCGACTTGATTTTTTAGGAAGTCATGACACAGCAGCTATTGTTCATCTAACATGTAAAAAAAATTGACCAATTAAATAAAAGAGCTTTAACAAAAAGGACTGTTGTCTACCACTGGTCCCGCTTTTGAAGCTCTCTATGCTATTAGATACGTTGCTGTTGTGAATTACATCTAGGCTACCTGGTTCCCCCTTTTTAGTTGCATGTGCTTCTGACTGCATATTCATGATAAACTTGATAGATGCACTCCGAGACAAATACTGTACACAATGCTGAAGTTTCAAAAAATCCAGCAAAATCTATTAGTCAAATAGTTATTAGACTGCAGAAAAAGAAAACAAACACAAGAAACTGCAATGATCAAGTCATGTAATATTAGACAAATACTTATCTCAAAAAGGATATGAAAATATTTTAATATATCTAATGTTCAATATAAATTGCTCTAGTTATGAATTAAAATGCTACCCAAGGTATAAGGAATTAAACCCATTTATTCCATATGTCACTTTAGAAATGCTCAAATCATAGAAAGAAAAATAATATCATATATCCCCATAGTACAATGAAAATGACTTGCGATTAAACCACAAATTTTCTTGCTTATGATATGCATTTCATAAACCTTGCTTTGCACGGATACACCGACACGTGATTCTTTTAAAATTCTACATTTATATAGGCTTTGTTTCAGCCCCATTTTTTGGGAAATTGAAATTCATAATAGTTATTTCTTTAGAGAATGTGGGGTTAAAAAGTGAATTTTTTTTGGGTATATGTGTGAAATAATTTTATTATGAGAATACGTGGTTAGAAATGAGTTTGAAAAAATTGAGTTTTTAGAGAATAAAGCTCAAACAGGGTAATATATCTTTAGTTTTATACTCTTTCTTTTTTAATAAAACCAATTAATTTTTAGGTTTTTTTTTTTTTTTTTTTTTTTTTTTAAATAAGAGTCACTATATATTGCTATTGCCAAGAAGAAGAAAGTTTGCCCTTCTGCCCTCTAAAAAAAGTACAAAAGTGGTAGCATTTTAAAGCACAAACTGATTTAACATTTCTAGTTGAATTTCCAATATTGCACTTAAATTTTAAACAGATAAATAATTTGAAAAGCAGGGCTAATTTAAAGATTTGGCAACATTAAAGTAGACAAATGAAAGCCAACATTGCACAAAAATTCCACAATTTCATCGTTAAGGTTCACAAAAATTAATCTTGATACTATTTCACATCAAAATATAAGCATATTCACTCTAAAAAACAACATAAAAATCAACCAAATTTGGGGAAAGCGTGCAAATATTCAAAAATTTGATCGCTAAGGTTAACAAAAACCAATCTTGACACAAATTAAACACTTGTTAAACAGATTCGCATAAAAACGAAACAACAGTCGGCAAAAATTGGGGAAAAAAGTACCTGAAGGCGGAGAAATCTAGATAATCCTTAAAAAACCAGATAAATAAATAAAAAACAATGGATCATATAGATGAGAAGCTCCTAATTCATTACAGATCGAGATTTATTTCATTTACCTCTTATGGAAGCAAAGCGATATTGCAATGATGCTTGAAACAGACAGGCTTCGAGCAAACTGAAAATTGTGGAACTTTTCTCTCTTTCTTTTTAATTTTTATTTTATGGATTTTGGATTTCTGCGTATTTAAAAAGTGTGATGGTGAGCCCCACTACGCTTTGGTATCACGTTCCCGCCTTGTACTATTCGTTTTAATGAGTAACGCCATGGCAGTAAATTGATTTTTTTACTTCCCAAAAAAAAATATATTACTTATTGCTTATCTTACTATTTCAAAATTTAGCCCCTGTTTGTTTTGAATAAAATTAAATATTTAATAAATTTTAATGAAAATGGATAAAATATGTAATTAAAAAATTAATAAAAGTTGTGAATTCTATAAAATATGTAATTAACGATAAATTTTAAAAAATAAACGTGAAATAGAGGCTTAATTAATAAAAATTTTATTTTAAAACTTAATTATTTACCTATAAGTGAGCTTTATCAAGCTTAGCCCGGAAAACAAATATGTTATCTTCAGATATTTGTTCTTTTGCAGAAATTTTAGCATAATATATCTTCATCAATAAATTTTGATATCTCAGTTTCATTAATATTCGATTTTTCAGCGAACAACCACATTTTTATATTTTTTGAATGAGAAAATATGGACCGGACATTGTTTTATTTTTGAGATTAAGGGTTACTTAGGAAAAGATGGAAATTATTGGTTACTCATTGTATCATTTGATTTAAAAAAGAAAAAAAAAGAAATAGGTATGAAAAATAATCTCTTGTTTGTCTACCAAATTTCAAATTTTTGTTTTTCTAAAACCCATTTCAACCATAGATTCCCATAATAAAATATTTTATACGTAAAGCGAAAATTTTTCCTTACTTTTTTAACCAAGTGTTCTCTAAAAAAATAAAATAAAATAAAAACTATTTTTTATGGCTAAATTCCTTCTTTTAACCTTGTATGTCAAAATCTTAATATAAAATTAATTTGACTTGTTTATTTGATAATTTATTTTGTTTAATCATCTTTATAGACTGTAGATTCTACAACTGAGAAAATCAAATCAATAGAGCCACCAATAATCCTACAGAACTCAAGAAAAATAGAACAAAGAAGAATGACCGTAAAATACCTTAAGACAGCACCGGTGTGATGTAGGCCGAAGACCCTCCCATGGTCAAATCAGTAAAGCTCGTTGAAAATTATATGAATACTAGATGAAAAAAGAAGTAGAAATAATTTAGAGTAGAGTAGATTGAGACACTTGAATGCTTGACTTATAGGAGTGAGACAACCGTTTAGGTGGAATTGACGAGGACTTTTCGAGATTTTGTAGTTGGTTGGAGCTAAATCCGATCAAATTTATTCCGTTGAGATATACAAGTTGTTTATGAATAACTTCAACTTGATCTGGTCAAATCATAGCGTGATTTATCTTGAGAATATATTATTAGAAGTTTTAAATTGGATTGTGGGTCTTTGGACCGTTCATTCAGATCGATTGTGGGTCTGTAGACCTTATTTTATGGCTTGGGCGGCTTGGGCTAGTGGATTAATTTTTACCACTAAATTTGTCCCCCACTCTTTTATATGTAGACAGAAGTAATTCGGGCTCAGAGCTGATCAGATTTTTTATTGAGAGCGGGTTTTGATCATAGGACGGATCATTTGATCATACAATTCTGGTGGTAATAGAATTTGTTATGATGGTGTGTGAAAGTCATCCGATCATTAAAAACGTCATGGAGATTACTACTCACTTCTTAAGCCATACTATTTTATAGGAATTATTGTATGATTGGAAGCAATGTAGCACTTGGGAAAATAACATACTGCTAGTTGAAACGTACGATTTTTAGCTTGTAAGTCAATTAGATTTTGGTTTCATATGACTTGAAAGATGCCAAATGGCTCGAAGGCCACGTGATGCATCTTCAAAAAATTATCGCACAACCTCTCAAGTTGTGTAATTTTACCTTATCTTTGTATGTATATATTTTTTAATTTTGTATGTCACTATTGATAAGTGTGTTTTTGCACACTTATTGGGCACTTAATTTGATATAATTATTGATTATATGAATGAAATTCTACTCACAATTATGTAATATTTGCTTTTGTCGGCTAAAAATCAATCAAGTAAAGAGAACAAAGCAAAAGGAGGAAAAATGGATTAAAAGTGTGCAAATTTGTGAAGTTGGGGACCAAAATGCATGTGTCAAAAGATGAAGGACTTGAGCTTACAATTTATGGAGGGCATAATCAAAATGAAAGTCAAAATCCAAGGACCAAATTGTACAAAATCAAAGTTGAGGGACTTGACGTGCAATTTATTGAGGGACTTAGCTACAAATTCGCCAAAAACCCATTTCTTGACCTTTTGGACAGAAACCCAGGCGCCAAGCACCACTGTACTGGCACCTTGGCGCCAGTTTTATTATAAAAAAAAAAAAAAAAGAACCAGGGACCTTTTTCCATACTTTTGAAACTTCAGGGACCAAGGCTGCAATTTTCCTAGGTTTTAATATAAAAACCAGCAGCTGAGTTTTCATTCTAGAGTTCTTCAGTTCTGTCTTCTGCCTGGGACGTTTTCTTCACGCCGATTTCATTTTCATTTTCTTTCATTTTCTTTTCTTTTTATTTTCATTTTACTTGGCATTTTGGGGATTAAATGAATGAGCACAACAAAGGAGAATACTAAGGTGGAGAAATCAAGTTCAAGCCACAAAAAAGGGTTTGATCTATAAACTTGTATTTTCTCCATTATTTTGCCATAGCTCATTTTTCATCATATATATAAAATGGACTAGTTAATTGAGTTGGGATTTATGGTGTTAGTTTAACCTAGTTTTAATTGATTTTCAATATTTGCGCTTTAATGTTAAGTTACTTATTTCATGTGTTTCTATTATTGTATTTATTGCATTTTTATTTATGTGGCTAATGAATGAATGTGTTTCGTGAAGTGTACATTGTTAGAGAAAAGATTGTGCATTTTAGACCAAATGGTAGGAACCCTAGGTTTGCGTAGTGGATAGAGATATACCTTTAGCTCTAGGTGATCCAATGAGCTATTTTCACAATAATTTAATGCGGTTGTTTGGTTGTAATCGATATAAAAATATAGTAGGTTAAACCAATCAATTAGGGTTAATTTCACTCGAGAGAGGTAATTAGCTAAAATTGGAAGATCGGGTCTAACATCGTAAATGAGTAGCGTGTTAATTGGCATGTGGAGAAATTGATTAGGCGACGGTTAAATGAAACCATGAATCCCAACCACTTTTCGTCCAAAATTTTCAAGACTTTATTATTTTCTTAGTTAACATGTTTTTCCTTATTTTCTAAAATCAACTCTTTATTGTGTGTTTGTTTATTTTCATTGTTAGAATTAAATTGATTAAAGTTGTGTAATTTACAGTAAACATTCCTCGAGGGATCGACAATTCGGACTTAAAAGGTCCACTTTATTACTTGAACGCGACCCGTGCACTTGCGGTAGTATTTTAGTGAACAACTATATATATTTATATATCTATATCTTTATTTTGTTATTAATTTTTGAAGCCGTGCGGCATTAATGTGTTGCCCTGTGCTAAGCTCAACAAAGGTGGCATACATGTCACCTTTTGTAAGTGCCATGCAAGCAACTTAATTACCACTCGACAATTGCCGAGTGTTGACCCCTATTTTTTGGCGCAGTAATCCGATTGGAAATGTCCATCCTAATAGAAAAATCACTGGTCCGTCTAGACTGTGTAATATGCATCGCTTGATTTACTAGTTCGATTGATAAGTGTATCAATTGAAAATGAAAGATTGTTGATCCCTCTAGATCGTGCGGCATGCATTGTTTAGTGCACTAGTTCGACAGATAAATGTATTCATTTGAAATGAAAGATTGTTGATCCGTCTTAACCAGGATATGCATCGCTTGGTTCATTATCAGACCAATAAATGTATCCATTCGAAAGGAAAGATTGTTGATCCGTCTTGACCACGTGGCATACATTGCTTGGCGCACTAGTAGGAGCATTTTCAATCGGATGGTTGAGCATACGCATTTGGTTGGATGATTTTGCACAAATTTATGAATTCAATTTTCTATCTTGTTTAGCGTGTCAATTTCTACAATTTAAAGCATCATATCTTTCATTTTTCTAGTGACTTGGTAGACTTCATTAAGTGTTAGAGATTTTGATGAGTTTCTCTCTTATGTTCTTCAAATTCTTGCCTTGTTTTTAAATGTTCTTAAGTGTTCTTCAAACACTTTTTCTAGTTTTTCGGTGGTTGCATTGATTTTGATTTATTGTTTCTAGAGTTTGATCCGTCATAAAGTAGAATTGCAATTGCATAGTTTTTTTTATGAACAATGGATTGGAGTGAGGTTTGTGATGTTTTGCACAAAATTCTGGTCGAACCTTGGCCTCCCCAAGGTTCAACTAGGTCTAACAATCTGGACGAAAACTCGTGGCTAGATAATTATATGAGTCCGGATCGTCTGGATGGGCCTATATTAGTGGGGTTCATTGGCGGTCTAGGAGTGCGTTCATCTTATGAGATTGATCTACAGAGCGTCGGTATTTATAGCAATTTAATCGATCCAAACCTTGATGGTGATAGACACAGTCTATGTGAAAGAAATTGTTCAAACAATAGTGATATAATGTTTACAAAGAATGTACTGAGCAAGCTGATGGAGAATGACTTGATTAGAATTCAGGATGCCTATAGTGTTTTAGCATCGGTGAAACTTTGTTTGCTACAGTCACACGAAAGAGTTTCATTGGATGTCCCATGTTAGATGTTTTTCTATGAGTTGCCATTTGAAGATGGCTTTCGATTTCCAATTTCTCATGTGGTTAGGATGGTGTTGGAGTATTTAGAGATTGCACATAGCCAACTCATGCTTAACTCTTGGCGATTGCTCTTGGCTCTCCGATGATTGAGCGGCACGATATCTCGTTTGGCATGTCGGAACTACTGCATGGTTACTTCATAGGGGAACACGATGGTGAAAAGGCCAATTTTCCTTAAATGCAAGGAAAGCTATCGATCGATTGATAGTTAGTCTTTCTTATGGGATAAAGGTTGGAAAGGGTCTTATTTTCTCGCGTCAAGCGATTTGGTTCGGTTGGAGAATTACGATTTCTCTTCAGCGTGGTCACGTGGTGAGTTTTGCAAATCGTTTACTCTCAATGTACTTTCCTAATTCGAGGTTCCTATTTCATTTTCTTGCAAGTCTTTGCATCAATACGCTACCCATCGAAGGCTTGTTCGTAAAAGAGCACATTTCTAAAATCTTAGCGATACCGAAGAATCAGAGAGATTGATAGTTCTTTCTATCTTCAAAGGTCCTTTATTTCAGTAGCTTGTGGGAACATACTTCAGCAGAATCAAGAGGTAATCCTTCTGATTTTTCAAGACATAATCCCTACTATAATGGCAAAGAGAGGTATGGAAATTCTTGGTAGTAACCTTCCTTTGAGCAGTCTGCTTAACTCAACTGATCGTGAGATTGCAAATTGAATCATGTTAAGAGTGATAGGATCTTTGCTCGATGCTTAGGAGTTGAGAAATGCGAAAGAGAGGTCTATGAAAATTTCTCCTCATACAACACTAGCTAACATTCCTATCCCGTCTGATGATTTTTCGAGCTAAACTGAGTTGCCTGATGCTCCTTTACTGTCGATTCGAAAAAGTGATCATCCAGGGCCATTGTTGGCATATGATGATTTGATCGTGCTTAGCTTTCCTCCCGGTTCATCTGCCTTTTCTAACTCGAGGGTGGTGGCACTTGTCGAAGGTTTTTTTTTATTTTTTGAAGATCAGACACATTACAAGCAACTTAGTCCAATAAACGCAGTCGCGAACATGATCACTCAAAATTTTCAGGTATTATATTTTTGTATACTTAATTATGGATAACCCAATTAGCAGACGCGAACTTATTCTATTGACTCCAGGGACTGTAATGAGCTAATTTTTCAAAAATCAAAGCTATTAGATAAGGGATGCAAATGCTTCATTACGTGCAGAAGTCAAAAGTTTAAGGACGGGGAAGAAAATTGCTGACTTGACTACTAGAAATGCACTAAATGAGCTAGCCGGATGGTTTGTAAGAAACTTGCGTTGGAGTAGGAGCTTATGAACTTGAAAAAATCTTCGAGGGCTCAGGTTGCTTTTTTGAAAAACTGCCAATTGAAAGTTGAGATAGCCACTATAGCCTTTCTTATGAATGATTTTAAAAATGCTAAACATGTCCGTTGGGACGTAGACAAAGTAATTGTCGATTTGAATTGTGCCAAATGCTTGGTATGCCGAATATGATAGAAGAGCAGCTTGAAGTTGGGGCTATGTTCGGCGAGAGAGTTGGGAATGTTGATGATGGGTAGGTTCAGATCTATTTGTTAGCACATTTTTTTTCCAAGTGTGCTTTTCGACTAATATTTTCTTTCGGAATTATGTATCAATATCTTTACGAGCATATTCGAACTTATGTATTTATAAGTTATATAATGTTGCTAGATTACCAAAGAACTCACTGAAATATTGAATATAGAATTTTATTCAAAGTACAATAAAATCGTGCACAAATTTATGATCATAATATTAGAACAGAAATCGAACTTCCCAATTTTAAAGATAGAATAGACTCGAAAACACATTTTTACAAAGGATTCGATCGGTCTGATCCATTTGATTTGGATAGTAATATTGTTGGTTGGCTTGAAGGCAGCAGAGTCTTCATTTGTATTGGTTTGATGGCGACAATAGTGCCATCCTTATCCAGACGACTTCTCTATCCAGATGGTTTATGGAATTGGCGTGGTCATTTTTATTGGTCATCGTCTAGATTCCAAATAATTTTTGACATCTACATGGGATCTTCGTCCTCCCAAGTTAAGGTTTTCCAAATCGCCGCAGATGAAGAACATCTTGATCTTTGATAAGTGATACATTTTTCACACTTGGTGAATCTCCTGAGAACAAAGATAAGTTAGGTCGATGGCATTCTATCATTGGCTCTCCGATGCTTAAGTTAATGTTGATCCTGACAGTGGCGAAAATTTTAAAAAGGAAAATTAAATAAATAAATGAGGAAATAGTGATGATATCCCGTGATGGTGGGTGACATGCCTAGTTTCACCCGAAACTTTTTCATCTATTCTTCTAAACGCAGAGAGAGGTTAGGACCACCGATGCCATTTGTGCCATCAGCTCTCCGATGGCTAAGTCAGTACAAATTTTGAATGAAAATGTAAGAAATGGAAAGAGTTTAGAATACTTAGAAATAATATTTGCGAAGATGGAAGTCGTTTCGACTGTTGTTGATATCTCTACCGTTTGGTCTTGTAGGTTCTTTGTCTGATGACCTTTGTGATTAGGTATGGTCATTCCCAATTTACTACAAGCTTTCCTACACCAGCTTCTTTGGTGCTCTGGAACACTCTTCATAGCACCCACTCGCCTTCTTTTAAGGTTTTGGTTATTACTTGTCAGTTGAAGTAATGGGTAATTTTTTGTTAATATACGACTGTATGGATATATACTCTTTCTTTTCGTTCTTCCACTGGATTTAACACATAACACAATTCGACTTGATTCTACTCGTCGGTTGTCCATTTATACCGAAAAGGTTGGAATGCCTATTTCTATAGGTTTGCTTCCATGCCATAAGCTCATTAGAGAAGAGGATTTCATCGATTTGTGCTCGAATGGTGGTGGGATAGGACCAAAGGACTCCAAGTAGCTTGTCTAGCCACTTCCCTTTAGCATTAGATAGTCTTTTCTTTAATGTCCTCATGATAGTCTTGTTGGAGGATTCGACTTGACCTTTGGCTTGGGAATACTGTGGATTGGAGAAGTTCAGTTGATGTTTCACTCTTTACAAAAATTTTGAAACCCGGCGCTCATGAATTGTGACCCATTATTAGTGACTATTTCTTTTGGAACTTCAGACCTACATATCACATTTTTCTAGATAAATTGAATAACTTCGCGATCACATACCTAATGCTGTTGATTGGAGGACTTGGCTACCCGGGGTTCTAGATAGAGAAGTGTAATTAAGATATACATAAAATGCTTTACCTTGATTTTTATTTTTTTTGAAAAAATTTATATCTCGCATTGAAATGAACTTCATATTGTTATTAGTTTAAAAAAATTTATAGCCATTTTTTAGGACTTAAGCTTACCGGAATATATTTAGAAGATCATTTTTTTGAGATTTCCTCATAATTATTAACTTATAATCTCATGTAGACTAATTCAATTTGTTTAAAAAAATTAGTGTCTGTTTGTTTTCAATTTTTTGCAGTGTATAACAAAGATTTAGGATTTAAATGTTTGAATCTTACTAAAGGACTAGAGACCATTATCTACTGGAAGTTTGCAACCTCAGTGTAGGTTTGCTATGTTTTGTTGGATGGTGAATTTTTTCTACTTGTGTATAGGGCTCGATTATAACTTTTTACTTATTTTGCTATCAATTCTGAAAGATTTTGATTGTGTTTTATTGTAGCATTATATACCGGGAGAGTATCTCTTTCTGTGACCATTTCAATTCCATCACACCCCAAGATTACACTTTTCTTTTTGTGACCATTTCAATTCATTTTATATTTCTATGTATTTTGGAGTTTTATTTTCATTTTGTATAAATCAATAGCATAGTTAGGCTCGAAAGCAATCTACATCTCAACTGACTTTGTTGGGATGGTTTATGTCATTTAATTATAGGTATGAGAAGTTCGAAATCAAGAGAAGAGAATACTGAAATAGTGAATGCACTTTCAAGTAATGGTGAGGACAGTAGATTGGAGCCAGAGTCTCCAATCGGTTGAAAGGCTTTTCTTCTTCAAATCATCATCAGGTGATTGACCAGATGCATATATGAGCATTGAGTCGATGATCATCCAATACTTCTACATGCCCCTGCAGTAATTAGTTTGCAAAATATACTTCATGACCATTCATATATATAATACACACACACACACATTAACTAATATATTACCTTCAATAGACTTAATTAAATGTTTGAAGGGTAAGGTGTGTACTATACGTTCACAATTGTGCAATATACTTTAACTGAAGATGCTCTTTTAGAAATATTTTTTCAAAACCTACAAATTGTCATAATATGGGAGGCCTATACATCATACCTCTATTAAACTTTGACAAAAGATCATATTAAAAATTACAATTAAATTGTTAGCTCTTCCCTTTGACATTCATCACCATTCATTTGTTATTTTTCATTTCAATCCACCTAAAAGTGAATGATTCTGTTTTAGTTAAAATTTTATAATGGTTGTTTTTTTGTAGAACATTCAGAGATAGTTAACTTGAAGTTGTGTGCATGATAATATTTATTGTGTAGCTATCAAGTCCATTAAAAGTTTTCTAGTGCAATTAGTTTCCATGCCATAGTCCTATTGTGCAAATGCCTAAAATAGAGAAGTGAAGACTTCCGTTGTCATGGTAAAATATCCAAACATAACTGGAGATAATTAAATCTTTTTAGAGAGATGCACCATGTGTAGTTGGTACTGGTGGTGACACAATTTATTTATCGAGTATCTATACTTTGCTATCACTACTGATTAGCGCTCTGAGGTTCGCTTGTATTTCCTATAAACACTCGAGAGTTTAAACATTGTAAGCTCAAAGAGTAAGCGTATTGCTTCGATGAATTACAAAAATGTTATGTGCTCTCTTCTTTTTTATTTAATTCGTTTTCTTTTTTGAGCAACTTAAGTACTTCTACTTTGTCAAATAAACTTTAAGAAGACTTATAAACTAAAAAGCTTACAAGCACCTTTTTTTCTTAAGCAATGGTAAACTCTCATGGGGATTTAAATCTACTAGGAGCTTCATTCATCTATCTCTGTTTCTAGCCAAGCATATCTAGATGGTGGAAGGATGTTAATCAGTATTCTCTTACCCTTATATTATTTGCAATGATTCCCATTGTACTCAGCTTATGGTCATTTGTTAAAACACTTGGACCAACATTTGCAATCATGGACACATAAATGTAGTTACCTTTGGTTGTTGCAATTTTATAGAGTGAAAGAAATCATATAAGTTGTTCATTTAGAAAATTTGTAATTCTATTTGGTTGTTTTGTTTCTTCGCTCTGGGTTGTGCAAGAAATCTCACTTTTTTCCTTTTGTTAAAATTTCTATCTATACTACTGACGAGGAAATATCTTTTCCATTTTTTTTTTGGTGGATGTCTAGTGGAAGAGGAAGAGAATATTGTAAAAGGTGACAATGTAATTGCTGAATTGGATACGACAGTAGAAGATCCGTATATGGGGGTTCTTTGAATGTAATGGACATATACACATTAAATATTGTAACGATTAAATTAAATCATGATTATTTTTGAAAAAACATGGTAAGAACTCCATATCTTAACAAAGAAAAAGCTGCACTTTTATGGAGTGTTGCATAATTTTTAATAACTAATTTAAGAGCTTTCGAATAACTAACTTTTGATAACTAACAATTTCACTATTTATTGTTAAACTTACACAATTCATACAAAAAAGTATATTCTCCAAGAAGTTTATATTCTTTTGAAATTTTTTTCAAGAAATTCCAAATCCCAAGAAAAATGGACATTGAAGAAGAATTACATGATAGAATCAATAGGGTAATGGGAACTACATTAGGTAGATTCGGTGAATAGTTTGTATGCCAAACACTTGTCAGTCACGATATGAACACAGAACTAGTGATCAATAGTCTCAACAATACAGCCAACAATGCAGTAGGTATTCAATTCGTATTTAATTAAGAAAGTAATGCCACTGAATTTTATTTTCCAATGTAAGATAAAATTCATAATTGTAGTATAGGATAAACAAGCCCTTAGCTAAAATCAATTTTTTCAACTAATGTAGGGAATGTTTCAGTTGCAGTTCTACTTGGTTTAAATGATCTTTCCAATCTTCCTGATGATCTCTACGTAGATCAAGGAAATGAATATTTGACTCAAAATGTTAAGGATGGTCAGGAGTATAATTCGTATGATATTTGGATGATAGTTTCTGATGTGGTGGCTAGATGATACGTTCTTGTAACATATAGAGATAATCTAGAAACCTAGCCATCAAATGAAACATTGCGATCTATAGTGTTGGTTTCATAGGTCTAACCTACTATTCACGACAAGTATTACATACAGAAAGAAATATTCACACGCATTTTTTGTTTGGATTGACGTATTATCTTGTGTTTGCTCCCTTGATTTCTACACGAAAAATTCTCCAGAGAAATGTAGATGCATTGGACGCCGAAGTGAATAGGCTTGTTACCTTTCCATAAAAGGATGATACTAACAAATGTGAAATAAGTTCTTCCATTGTTATTTAAATCTTTATTTGATAAGCCTTGACTGGAAACCATGATTGCAGTCCATCTCCACCTTGCAATCCCTGTATACTTGCTACCTTGCCATACCTCTACGTTGTAATTCCTATGAACGTGTGTTGTCTTGCCAATTTTGCTTTTATCAACTCCATCCTCTATAAAACCATCCTTGTCCTCAAGGATGAAATAAGGAAATAGAGCCTTAAAAGATTCCACCTCTTCCCACGTAGCATTTGCTGGAGAAAGATTTCACGTCTTGCTGTCAACCGCAGTGTGAGGGTTCGATTCCTGAGACATGAAATTGGACTCCTTGTAGGCACAGTGTACAAACAGTTCTTGTTCCTGGCCTGTTAGGGCACATCCCGTGATTTACCTCCCTCACAAAGCTCTAGGGACGGGGCGGTGGGGGCTCTCAAGGTTGGGGTTCACCATTTTTTAAGTTAAGGGAGGTAGTGTGATTATATCATTTAATTTGTTATTGGACTGAATTTAAATGTTTCAATGGTGAACATATATTAATGTTTCATTGAGTATTGTGATAAATGGGGGTGAATTATGACTCATAATTTTTTCATTTATTTCAATTATTTATTGCAATAGAGTCATGAATTATCTTTCAATTATTTTATGCTAAAAATTTATAATTAGGATCGAATTTCATCATGCTCAAAAGGTGAGGGACCAAGTTGCAATTATTTTTGGATTTTGAATTTTAATCGGCACGTGGGTGCTGCCTCTGTGTTCAACGCATGGTCTCAACACATTCGGACATTGTCTCTGTACTTGGAACCTAGTGGCGACGAGACCACATACCGCAGCTGTACGGTGAGAAATGAAGGCCATAGGTGACACCACCACAACCAGTAAATCATGGCAATGCTTTGGGCACTATGTTGTACGGAGATGTAATCGTAAGTACCCAACGGGCGGTTGTGATTTCGGTCGATTACTCTCTCTCTACTTGACGAAGGCAACAAGGTCTGGTGGCTATGTTCTAGAATGATCTTTCCAATTTGGGTCGGTCACCTTGTTGGGCTGAATTCTACACGTGGGCTAGAATATGAAAAAATACATAACTACCTAAATTTAAAGGTATAATTTAAACTTTGACAAACTTGAGATTTAATGAAAAGATATTTAAAAAGATACTCCCTTAAATCAAGGAATCAGTTCACATTCCTTCCAGAAATCAGAAGGCAGTATTAATGAAATACGTAATTAAATAGGTAATTAAATATGTTAAGGTTACAATAACATACAACTTTATAGTCACATTTACGTACTACTCACAATCAAAGAATGCCATAATCACAAATTTCAAATGTTATAGGTCACAACTTATATATTGTTCATAATTTATCAAATTAATTGACCAAGATTTATTTTTAGATCACAAGTCACAAATTTTATAGATAACAACTGATTTCAAGGTCACAAATTATCAAATAAATTTATCACGACTTATTTATTGATCAAAAATCACAAAATTTATAGGTTGCAACTTATTTATCAATCTTAAATTACCAAAGTAATTGATCACAAATTATTTATCAATCACAATTCATCAAATTAGATAGTTACAAACTTATTTTTCAGCCACAAATTATTAAATTATTCGTCACAACTTATTTTTCAGTCACAAATTAACAGGTTACAATTACCCAATTAAATAATCACAAATTACTCTTCATCCTCCCTCATACCACCTATTCCACCACCAACGACACCACCTAAAACATGTTGTCACCTCATATCCACAATCCATTACCATCGTCTCTAAACGCACCACCACCACCACCTCCACCAACAACCACCATCAATACACCACCACCACAAACCGCATCAGCCATCACCAACGGCATCGTCGCCTGTACCCCATCCCAAATCCACCACACCGATAACGCCGTCCACCACCACCACAAATCGCACCAACCATCAATACCATCGATTGCACCCCTTCTAAGATCAATCGCACTAGCACCTTCACCACACATACAACCACAATACACCACATAGATCCGCACATATTGTCGTACGCACACCACCACATCTTTAGAATAATTGCTACATGGTCATAAGCTCTGGCTGTATCTTCCGTCGTGGCGAACCTTCTAAGCCACCTTCGACTTCTCTTTTTAGAATCATGAATCTCAAGCACCACTTTCTCTAGCTCCATTGCCTTACACCTCTATACTTAAACTTTTCACTATTTGGCTCCTCCTTTCCCTTTACCTTTCTTGTTGCTCTTGTTGTTATCATTGTCGGTACTGGTGGTGTTGTTTCTACGAGTGGAGGCACTAGAAATTGTAGAGAGAGAGATATAAAGATATATAATTTTAATTAATGAGAGATTATTAATAATATATTATTTAATAAATGTTAAATAAATAATTATAACCTGATTTATGAAAGTTAAATTTAAAATCTGACTAGTGAAATGTACACTTTAAAAATAAGTCTAGGGATGAGAATAATACATAACTCCTGCATATAAAAATCACATTTTGAAACTAACTAACTTCTTAAAATATTCCATAAATCAAGTGGTAAATCAAATTATTAAATATATAATTATAATATAGTATCACTTATTTTCTCTCTCTGGATCAATTAATATACCATATCAATTGACATAATGATATTATAATCCCCACCCCACGAACCAAACTCCGCCCCAAAAATTCAAATCTTTCTACAACCCTTACCTCGACGAACCCAACCCCTATCCTACT